TATCAATTATTGAATTTGAGATTTGTAAAGTTTAGTTATCATTTCCAAACATATAGACTACTCCTCCATTTCTGATACAAGATACCTATGTAATCTTAGAGTTATTCCGAATGTATAAAGAATTTTGATTTCCAAGCATATTTGCAATTCCACCATTAGAACCTGATGATATTTAGGTTATTTGAGTATTTGAAATATCAATGAGGTTTTGACCTTATGATAAAATATTGAAAAGCCCTCCACTGCCAGTCGTTACTGTGACTTAATTTATTATACAACTTTCAATCAAAATAGTAGCGCTTGAATGTTGAGAGGGGATGTATAAAATAGCACCACTAGTTGAATTCAACACACTAATGTTTGAATTTGACATATTGAATAATATTTGCTGAGCCAAGCTAAGATCTAAATGAAACATCCCACTAATAGAATTTGAATAAATGTTTGAAAACTAAGTATTATCTACATTTATAGTAACTAAGCGATTAGCTTTAACACTTAAGATTGCTCCTTAAGAGGCTTTGTAATTCTAAAATGATCCATTATTAATATCTTTATTTGAGGATAGTAAATTAATCTACAAGCTTTCTTAATAATCTAATGTTGAAGTTATAGTATCAATGATTCTGATAGAACCTCCAGGCAAAGATAGAAATGCTCTTGGATTAGTGTTGCCATTATGATAGTTTTAATCTAATAATATTGGCCCGATAGGATCTACTAGATAAATATCAATGGCTTGAGTTGCGAATCCATCATCAAAAGTATTTTAAGATATATTTAAAATTCGGCAATTTTTACAGAAAACAGCTCCTCCTACAAGAGAATTCATATTTCCAAAGTAATTATTCTAAAGAGTCAGAATAGTTATTCCTTTGTTTTCTACTCTTAGACTTGCTCCTGATTAAGATCGAGCACAATCTTGAAATCTAGAGTTATAAACGGTAACAGAGGAGATTAATCCAGTTCCATTTAGGGTAATTACCGATCCTTAGTCATATTTGTTCTGTGAAATAAATGCTGTCTAAAGAGTATAAACTTTCGCAAGTAATGTTAGAATTAGTGATGACAAAAGTAAAATTATCTTCTGTGTTTGCTGAATAAAGGAGCCTACCTCCACCTCCTACTTTTGAATCCATTAAATGTGGAGCAAATAGATCAGTTGCATAAAGTTAATCTATTAAAAGCACACCAGCTGATTAAATGTAAATAGACCCTCCAAAGCCAGTTTATGACATTAAGTATCTTGCATAATTGTAAGTAAAATTAGCTTTTATTATTTATACTTAGATAGAATCAACATCTAATCTCAAAAATGAACCATCTCCTAGAGCATAGACATTTGTACCAATAAGGTTCCATAGATATACTTAGAAACTAGTTGGTTCTATATCATTCTCTTTTTGAAGATAACTGATATCAATAAGCCTTGAATTTTTGCCAGTATATAATTTTTCTACTCTGAAATTATCAATAGTTAATGTTGGTGTTATTAATGTATCTCCGCTTAGGTAAGGCTTTTTAATATAGAATTTGAAAATAACCCCTGTTCCATAAGCAGATGAAGCCGTGTAAAATGTATTATGTTCGTATATAAATGTTTATCTAATTACCATTTAATCAGTTTGAAATTCGAGCATGGGCTTTATACAATACCAGCAAATCCACCAACCAAATGTATGTCTCTGAATATTTACAGTGGTTGCATATATTCCATTCGGATCTGAGAAATTAGGAAAGATATTTTATGATTGATTTACGTTTTGAGGATGGACATAGTAAAACATTGTAGTCAAATAAGTAAATTAGTTTGCAGTAGATGTATAATACATTAGAGCTTAATCACCTGGATCTACTCTTATTAAAGGATTCGCTATGCCATTTGATCTATCATCTGTGAACAAAATACTAGCTCCAACAAAATCTATAAGAAAGGTATTATATGGTCCCTTTATGTAGTTATATTAAGCTCTTTCATAGTAAAAAAACCCATAAAATTCACTTAAATGGATTGCTTAAGATCTGTTGCTATCATAATTTATTGTCTCTAATATCCAAGTCATATAAAATGAGATGTTTCTAATGTTCAAGTAATTTATTTTACCAATCTTAAGTAATGCTAGTCCTAGTTAATTACTTGGGTAAGTTTCATTAAATTTCATTATATCAGGAACTTTTGGTTCTATCTTACTTGAATTGTATTCTTTATGCTAAACATATTCATTGAACTCAACTGATGCATCTCCATCATGAGCATAATATTCATTAAAGATTATCAGCCTTGGAAATGATGTAATGTCAACTAGGGCTTTTCCACCAGAAACAGTACTTTGAATGTAATTGTTGTTTTATATTAAGGTATGTCTGAAATTTACACTATAAGTTATCTTATTGTACAAATAAGTTGTAGAAGGAGCATTAAGGAAATTATAGGAAACCAAATATTTCTATTTCATTGCTGCAATGCTACCGATAGCATACTAATCATTGCTTGTAATATATGTAGCATTATCATTTACACATTGCATCGAAACAGAACCTCCACTGTATAAGACACAACCAGCATTTTATGTGAAATTGTTTGAGTCAATAAGATAACCTCCACAAAATATCGTATTATTATCTGGAAGAGCAGTATATATTGAAGTGTTTGGCATTCCTCGGCCTCGAATAAATAGTACATTGGTATCATAGTATCCGAAATTTCTAAAGAATAAGTTTTTTGCAATTATAGCTCTTTGAGCTCTGTGCTTCAAATCAAGGTTAATTAGTCCTCTAGTACCAGAATTCTACTCAAACCTAAAAGTTTAGAATAATACATAATGATCCTTACGTGTTCTCAATGATGTCAAGTATATAATCAAATTTAGTTATTGAAATTAAAGATTTCAACTAAATAACTGATTTGTTGCCGTAGGAAGGAAAATTGTCAACAAATTATGATTTATCCATATTTTTAATCTATCTCCCAACATCACACGTTTAATATTTGACATGATTATCTTTGAAAGAATTGTTTAAAATTTAAATGTGTCCCTTAAACTCTTCTAGATCAACTATCATACCATTAAATTGCATCTTGTATTTAGGGTCAACCCATAACGGAGAAGTTCTTTTTACTTTCAGAAAACCAAAATTTCTGAAGGAAGAGCCTTAGATAATCAAATTTAAGCAAGGTCTACTGAATGGATTAGTCAGATTGCATATTGTAATTCCAAATGGATAATAGGGTGCTAATTCATTTTCTAATGTCATTGATGCTTGATACTGAAAGTTATTGGTTCTAAATAGGTAAGCATTTTCAAAGCTGTTTGGTGTAATATCTGTACGATTGAAGTAAACTTTCTTATTTCTGACAATTGATCCACATGTATTAAAGTTTATAAATTGACTGTTAGTAATAGTGATATAACCCACTTTGTTGTTTATCTCAATGAAAGAGTTGAAATCGTAGATAAAGTTCTCAAAAATACAATTCTAAAATTTTTTAGTGTTAATGACACGCTAATTACTTAAAGAGTTAACGTGGTTATAGTCCAAATAGACAGATTTATACTATAATCAAATTTGAATAATGAGCCCCCTCCTCCTGCAATGTAGCAATTTTCTGAACTGAAAATATTAGATAGAAATTAAATTACGGTTTTTCTTTTAGGATACAAGTTCTTTTAGGGATAATATCTTTGATATTATAGTCAGTTTGACAGCAGGAAGTCAATCCGTTAGAAAGGCAACCTGTAGAATCATCTTCATGGCTTAGTATTGAATCGATAGCATCAAAGTGAAGGTTATTCATTGTAATTCCTCTCTATATTTGAAATGTCCATTTATCCCCAAGCTTATAGTTGACTTTGATAATTGATCCATCTTCGGTATCAAATATCAGAATAGTAGCTCCTGATGTAATATCTTAAAAAATAGGTTAGTATATTGGTTTGTCTACTGGAAGCATCGCGTGAGTTCCTAGTTTTAATATTATAGTGATTGAAGCAATAAAATAAGGGGCACCTAACTCATTTGCTCTAGTGATTGCATCTTGAATCGTGTTGTATGCGTTTGAGTAACTGCCATTGATAGTATTAACAGGATTCAAATTTTGTGAATTTAAACTATTCACATAGATCTTATCTGTTAGAGCTAAGGAATTCTTTTTTAAACATATACCATAAGATCTATCTCTAAATCCCCTAGTCGAAAGATAATATGTTAGCTTGCAAATTAGACAATCTCCATTTGATGCGCATTCAAAGCAAGTTGGATTACATGCTACACAGTATGATGATTCTAGGGTTCCCCTTCTATTATATGTTGCCAACCCATACTGACCTCAAGGGCATTTAGAAACACATGACTTAGTTGCATTATTATAGTATCCGTCCTTACATCCAGTTATAGCTTATACAGTGGTTAAACTATTTAGATTGCATCTTATTCCTTCAGAGTAAAACCCAGTTTGTGACTAACAATCTAGCAAGAGATTTTTAAATTATTTCGGCTAATTAAATTACCTCCACATATATTGTTACCAGACAGTAAAAATTCATCAAAACCTGATTAGCAAATCTCACAACTTTTATCATTTATTGGCTCCATGCATTAACCCGTATTACTATCTAATCGAATTGAAGATCAATAAATTGATTTACAAGCTACACAAGAGTTAAGATAAATCTTGTTTATTGAATCATAAGTTGTAGTTGCTTTAAGATAATAACCATCTGCACATTAGATACAATTTTTTGCTCCATTTAAGTAAGTTTTATATTAATAGCAATTAGCATCTATTTACCCAGTCAATGAGTACTTGGCTAAAATAAAGTTATTTCTCATTATACTTACAACAGTCTGTGGATAAATCTAAATTTTTGCATTATAAACACTAATCAGCATTAGAAGAGGAGCATTTATCGCAAATTTTTGAGTTATTGCATCCTAAAATATAGTTAATTGTTAGAGACTAAAATTATTGGAATTATGGCATACTTTGACAAATTCCAAAGGATCCCCAAAATGAAGCTGATGTATCAATGCTTAAAGATGCATTCCAAGGCTTTGATTGAATTTGCGCCTAGCATAATTCGCAACCGTTAATTAGATTACAACTGCCGCAGTGTTCTCCACACCCTGATAATTTTGATTAGAACAGAATCGTAAAATACATACATTTACATTATCCATTTGTAAAATCAGTGACGTATGAGTTATGAGCTTAATTGCAGTCTGAAACACAATAAGTAAAATAAGCTGGGTAAAAACTCGATGAAGTTTCGTTTTACAATAGAAATAACCCATTTTTACACTAGTTGCATTAAACGAAATAACTCTTAATGCTTGCATTTACCAACTATTTCTCTGAACAACTAGTACATCCAAAAATTTACTCTGAACATTCTATATTCAGCTTAAATGAAGAAAAAGGGTTACTAATGCAATTATTAGTTTTAGAGCTAAAATATTCATCTCAATCACCTATGTATTTGATCATTACAATTGATTACATTGTGCATGTACTAAAGAAAAGATGCAGATAAGTATAAGTAATTTTTATTTGAATATCATATGATAGACTTGCAAATTATTGATTTAATAGATAATTCTATTGAGTAGAGCAAGATTATAATTATCATTGAAGCCTATTATAATATGTAATATATCAATCAATACCTATTTAAAATTTCATTCTTTCATGTTATTTTATGATCTGGGGTTTTGGGGTTTTGGGGTTTTGTACTTTCACA